GAGATCAGGTGGCCGCCGTCCAGCCGCCAAACAACAACTCCCGGGAAAAGGGAATGCGAAAACCGCATCGCCGGCCGGAAATGGACAGCCAATACCACAGCTCGGGAGGTGAGGCGACTTCACCTCTCACTCCGCCAGATTTGGACGCCTTGCTAGCGGCCTCCTACACATCTGGGGAGGAGGCGCATGTCGCACGTCCTCGGTACCCTTACGAGGATTACGCTGTCCACTTGGTCTCATAGTTGGACCAACCACTCCACGTGCAACAATCCACCGCATGCACAGTTTCACCACCATCGGCAACCGATTCGGCAGCTTCGCCGCMATCTATCGCCGGGGATTCGACGTCACGGTCAAGACTTGAAGAGCTCGACCCGTTGACGTTTGCGGACTTCCAGTGGATGCCCGTTCCCTCGACCGGTCGATTGCCGAAACCGCATTGCAATGTGCTCAAGGCACAATTGCGGGATTACTTGCACACTGCAGTACCAGCTCCGTTGATGGACATTGGAGTAGAGGTTGTCGACCTTCACGACTGCGTTGCGAACATCGACCGTGAGTTCAAGACACAACGGTCGGCCGACATCAACGCGCCATTGTTGTACATACACATTCAGATCGGAGAGGCAACCTGCAGCGTTTTGATCGATTGTGGAGCTACTCGCAACCACATGAGCCAAAATTTTCTGGTACGCGCTGGCCTGCGGCCACGCGTTCGGAGGAAGTCGCAACCCACGCAAGTCACGTTGGCAGACGGTCACACGCACAAGTCAATCGACCAGTGCATTGACACCGTCCCCGTGTACTTCCCCCCGCATGCAAGCGAGGCCGTGTCCTTCAACATTTTGGACACCAACAAATTTGCAAGCATCTACACGCTGATCTACGTCGACTACGAGCGACAAAGACTAGCTAAGGAAGCTTCACAAACCTGACCCTTCCACCCGGCCTTAGGTCCCTCCCTCCGACAGGCAGCTTCGCCCTCGCAGGTAAGCTCGGTCTTTCAAGGAGGGGGGGGGGTGTGGGATACTGCGCAGCCATACGGGCCTGCAAGGCCCGACCAGACGGAAATCCAGGGCCCTACAGGCCCTGTGTCATTTCAGCGTAAAAGCCAGAAAACAAGGGCCTACAGGCCCTGTGTCCATTCAGCCTAAAAGCCTGAAAACGAGGGCCTGCAGGCCCTGTGTCGTTTCAGCCTAAAAGCCTGAAAACGAAGGCCTACCGGCCCTGTGTCGTTTCAGCCTGAAAGCCTGAAAACGAAGGCCTACAAGCCCTGTGTCGTCTCAACCTAAAAGCCTGAAAACGAGGGTCATTTTCAGGCCCTCATAAAGTCGACCTGCCCTGAAACTTAGGCACCAGACCAGGGTTTTAGCAAAGGCCATTTTTGGCCTGTTTTCAAGACAACCTTTGTTTGAACTTCAACACCAGGGTCTGGCACGTTTTGGCATTGGCAAGAGCAGCCTCCTGGATGGGCCAGCACTCTATAAGACTGGCCCGCCCTACAGGCTGCAGGCAGTGGACGAGGTAGTTCATAGGCAGGAGGCAGTCTTCAGGATTCGGCAGCAGCACTCTGGAGGAGCGCTGCAGTAGTAGTAGTAGTAGCATTAGCAGTAGTCTTCAGCGCTGGGCGCTATTAGGAGCTAGAGTAGCGTTGGAGAGAGAGAGATGGCTGGCGGAGGCCAGGGAGACTTACCTGTGGCGCCATAGCTCCAGCTTCGTCTTCGATGTACCTGCAACAAGGCGCCACCTTCACAGGTTAGTACTCGACTGAGAGGGGGAGAGAGAGAGAGAGAGAGAGAGAGAGTTCTTCTTCTTCCTCTTCTAAGTCCACTATCTTTCCCTCACCCTCTCGCTACCTAACTTCTCAGTATCTGCAGACTACGAGAGGGATAGAGATTGGTGACTTTGGGATTTGACGACATTTGGATCTAGACTCCACATTGAGACATTGGACGAGGGATTATTTGGGACCTGTACCGAAGACTTGGTGTTGACTACATTCCCATCTTCCCCTCTTGTTCGTCTAACCCCCCTCTTCTTCGTCTGTGTATGGTTGGGGACTGGCGCATTCTTCCAGTGTGAGCGCCAGGCCCCTTCACACCATGGAATGATGATGATGTATGTTTGGTCTGCATTGCAACATTGATTGTTCGGATCATTGGTATATTACCCTTCCGCTGCGCTATCTTGTACTATGTGAGAGAGGTCGGTTCTTCTTCTGGTCTGTACCGTTATGGTATGCGACACCTGTAGTGCGTCAATGAGGAAGATCCTCTTGTTTCACCTCTAACCCACTTGGTTGCCGACGCCCCAGTGGTTTTCAAGGTCTGTTCCAAACATTAGGCCTCATCTGTCATAGCCCTGAAGGTTTGCAACTCCCACTGCTGCATGAGTACTTCGCTCTCCCGTGCAGCAGCCTCGCCTCAATGCATGCACATGGTGCCCGCGCACCATGTAAACACTCATACTGTGAATACTCGTACATATGTACCAGGTTCGCTCGTTCGTCCAGCCTTGTTGTGGTGCTCGACGAAGGAGGTGACAGGGCACAATGTTGGTCAACAAGCCGAGGCTATGCAGTCGCTAAGACCACCACGCAACGTTGCCAGTGCCCGTAGATTTTGCCTAGTAGTACGCTCAGCTCACTCATGCTAAAATGGCCGGGAAATCCTGGCCATGCTTACTCTCGTACACGTGGCTGGCATAATGGTCGTCGCATGTACTTGATACCCGTGTGCTGGGTTAGAGGTCTTCCTCTGCCAAGGGAGCAGCCTCCGCTCTTGCTCTTTCTACAGTGCGGTATGGGGCTTCTAGAGCCTCACTAAGCCTCAACATCAGCTGGACGCAGAACAGGGAGGCTTCCGGAGCCTCATGATGCTTCATGCATCATGTAGCTGCAGGAGGCCTTGAGGCCCACTCTTCATTGTGCATGCCCAGTACTATCGGACAAATCTAGCCAGCAAATCAGCGAGATTCCGCCTGTACTACCAGCCGGAAAATCTAGGCCTACTGCTCATCGTGCAGAATTATCAGAGCCACCTGGCCAAAGATTGGGGGCCTTTGATTATTCCGCCCATTGGAGGAGCTTCCCAAGCCCTCAAGGCCTCTTCCTCAAGGAGGTCCGGTAGTACGTCACGGATTCCAGCCATTTCCATCCACATTCATCCAATACTATGGGATCTCTCGCGTTCAGGTCCTCAGGCCAATGGCAGCGGGTGAATCTAGCTAGGTTTCAGCCTTTTTCAGCTGGTACCACTGGCTGGCTTCTTCCTGCAGGCCTTCCTGGACCTCCCTCAAGCCTCCCTCCCGCACAGCATGTTTTGGCCGTATGATCTAGTGATTGCTCAGCCACGGACACATGGTGACTGCTAAGGTGTTACATACCCGTGAATACTTCAACGCATATGGGGCAGAACCAAAGATCAACCAATATAGGATGAGCATATATGCAGCGGAAGTCTGATAAATGGACTGACTCACATAGACTGACTCACACCGATATCACTCCACACACAAACAATCGTGAGATGGTGGGGTTTGAGCCAAGCGCAGACGATGCTCAGGCCCCGTACAAACATACACAGACGAGAGGTGGGAGGAGAGATGAAGGAGGTGGGAGATGTAGGTAGCATCAGATGTCACCGAGATAGAATCCAGTAGGTCACCGATATGGTAGTCCAAAATCTCATCGAACAAGATCAAAATGTCGTGGACAATAAGTCACCAATGTCGGAGATACAGAGTCCTAATGTAACCGGTGTCCAATCTATGATGCCACCGAGTATCAACCCCAACAATCTCCAAGTCTCGAACCCGGTAAGTACCACAGCCTCTTACCACCGAAGTCCAACACTGATGTCTGTCCAACTAGTATCGAGTGTCCAGTCTGAGGAAGAAGAAGAAGAAGTCTGAAGAAGAAGAAAAAGAAGAAGAAGAAGTCTGAAGAAGAAGAAGAAAAAGTCTGAAGAAGAAGGAGCCGAGATGGTAGAGGAGGAGGAGGTGAGGAGGAGAGAGCCGGTGCCGTGGAGGGAGGAGAAGATCCCCTCGCCTCCTGGTACCTGGCTGTGCTGCAGTCTGACTGCAGGTCGCGGCTATGGCCGCCGTACTGTCGATGGCTGCTGCCCAGCTCTTCACTCGTCGCTGCTGCTGCTCCGCTCGTGTGCTAATATTAGCGCTCTGCCTCAACCGATACGCACTGGCGCTGATGCAGCATGCCAATTGCTCGATGCCTCACAATGAGGCTGCACCGGTCTTTAGTACCGGTGAAAAAGAGGTCGGCCTCAATGCTGCGAGGCCTGGCCGTGACCTGAACCGTCAAGATCGACGGTTCAGATCAGACCGGCGTGCGGCAGCCTCAAAAGCGCCGTCAGGCCCAGACGATGTGTCCTTTGGGCCTACCCGTCGGGTCTGGTCCAAAACTGTGGCCTTTACGGCCTGCTGTACCCCAAGTCCGGGCCTTTAGGCCCTACTGTGTCCCCTAGGCCCTAAGTCGGGTCTGGTAGGACCCGTGTGGCGTCGAAGATGTAACACACTCCCCCTCTTAGAAGACCGAGCTACCTGCGAGGGCGAAGTTGTCTGTCCGATACCGGGGTGGGTCGGGCGGGACGAGCTGCTTCCTTGGCAAGGCGTCGCTTCTCATAGTCGGCGAAGACAAGGGGTGCAGAAGTCTGCAAGTCTGCACTWGAGATCCACCGAGTGTCGTCAGGCGCACATTGCTTGAATGTGACTTTGAACTGCATTGGCTTGTTGCCATACTTGCGGTGCGTGATGACTCGGTCCACTTCCTGATGTCCGTCCATAGAAGGCGGATCCTGTGATCGTCGGTCGGGAAACTCGTCAGCGGAAGGTGGCGTGTAGATGGCCAGCTTCGCCGCGTGGAAGACCCGGTGCACTGGAAGGTGCGGTGGAATGTGGACCACGAAGGAAGGACCTGCGGGTCGTCTCCAACGACAGAAGTAACTTCCCATGGTCCGAACCATTTCGGAAGGAGTTTGCGCGAAACGTCCTGCTCGAGCGCAAATTCCTCGGAGAGGACCCAAACAAGGTCTCCCTCGCGGAAAGGACATGGAAGTCGACGTCAGTTAGCTTGCTGCTGCATGCGGATTTGAGCCTTTTGCATATTTGCGCGGGCTTTCATCAGCAAGTACCGGTACTTCCGGATTGAAGCGGGAGAGCAAGGGACGTCTATGTCGGCGGCCTGTGGCAGAAGGAGATCAGCGAAGATCCGTGCTTTCTCTCCACCATGATGCAACTCGAATGGTGTGATGCAGATCGCTGGGTGCACCGAAGTGTTATAGGCGAACTCGATGTCGGGAAGCCGGTCAACCCAATCTTTCTGGTCGGGACGGATGAGCGTACGCAACATCATCTGAGCGGTCTGGTGTGCTCGCTCCGTCTGGCCATCCGTCTGGCGGTGCCGAGTCGAGCTCGGCTTCATTGTCGTGCCGGACTCAGCCATAAGGGAAGTCCAAAAGGCCGACATGAAGCGAGTATCTCGGTCGCTCACTATGTCTTCCGGTACACCCTTGTTGGTAATCCAACCGGTGTGCAAGAGTCGTGCGAGCTCCGGCGCTGCAGCATGATACTTGCAAGGAAGGAAGTGAGCATACTTGCTCAAACGGTCAACGGCCGTGAGAATACCGTCATGGCCGAGGCGATCGCGGGGGAACGGGCCTGTCACGTCCATAGCAATGGAGAGGCGCGGTGCCCGGGGAATCGGCAACGGTTTTAGTTCGCCGAAGGGGACTCGAGATCGACCCTTGTTATGGTGGCAAACTGCACATGACTCAATGTACCTCGTGACGTCATGAAGGACGTCGGGCCATTGAAAACGCTGACGGAGGCGTGCTAATCTGCGGTTTACGGCAAGGTGTGCCGAAAGTCGTGCGTCGTGGAATTCGCCGAGAAGACGAGTCCGTAAGATGCGATCTTGGGGCACAACTAACAAGTCCTTTCCTCTCGTGTGAAGGAGAAGGAACCCGTCAGAAATCCGATAATGGCTAGCCGGCGGGTGATCCGATGAAAGCTCCGCGTAAAGCGTAGAGTAAGTCGGATCGGACTTGTAGCCTTTGACAAAATGCGGCTGCAGATCATCATGGAGGTCGAATGTCGTGGTCACAATGGCACAAAAATCGGGCCGTCGTGAGAGGGCGTCCGCGGCTCGATTGGCGGGACCGGGAATGTGGCACGGGTCAAAGTCGAACTGGTCGATGTAATACATCCATCGACCGATCGTGCTAGTGACTGTATCCTGCGTTTTATAAAAGGTCAACGGATTGTTGTCCGTATTCCATTTAAAACGCTGACGATCGAGAAGAAAGTGGCGCCACCGTCTGGATCTTGTCCGCTAAGGGACGAATGCCTTTCCGCGTAACAGAGTGACCCAAGTACTCAAGCTCCTGCTTGGCGAACTTGCACTTGTCGAGGTTCGCTTTGTACTTGGCCAGTCGCAAACGATCCAAAACAGCACGAAGGTATACGATGTGCTCGTCCAACGTCCTACTATAAACCAAGATGTCATCAAGGTAGATGAGGACGCTGCGATCGAGCAAGTCGCGAAACTCAGTCGTCATGGCTGCTTGGAAAGTCGCGGGGGCATTGGTGAGGCCAAATGGCATGACAACCCACTCAAAATGCCTGTACCGCGTCTTGAACGCGGTTTTGTACCGATCTTGAGGCTAGATTTCAATCTGGTGGTAACCCGACTTCAAGTCCAACTTCGAGAAGTACGTCGCGCCGCCTAACCGCTCGAGGAGATCATCAATCCGAGGGAGAGGGCCGACGTTCTTTACGGTTTGTGCGTTAAGTTTGCGATAATCGATGCATAACCGTAGATCTTTGTTCTTCTTCCGGACGAAGAGAACAAGGGCAGCATAAGGCGAACAACTAGGGCGAATCCAGCCCTTGTCGAGAAGGTCATCAAGTTGTGCGCGAAGCACTTCGAGTTCCTCTTCGCTCATGCGGTAGATACATCCACGCGGAGGGACGGCACCAGCCTCGAGAGTGATCCCGTGACAGATGGGCCGATCCGGAACCATTCCGGTGGGAGCCTCGAAGACGTCTCTATACTCGTCCAAGAGGTGAGAAATGCGCGAGTCCGGCGGTGACGCGGCTGGTCCGTCCGGCGAGAGGAGAGCATGCAAGAATACAAGGCCCATCTCCTCGACGTCATTCCGAGTTATGGCGTCGCGAATTCTCGCAACGGAAACCACGTGACAAGCTATCGAAGTGTGAGGGGTCACGACTGTACATGGGACTAACACTCCTTTCCGATCACGGATGTGAACGGTCCGAATGTGGAAGTTCACCGGATGATCGGCGCTACGCACCCAAGACATGCCTAGAATCATGTCGAACTTGGTGTCGAGGATGTCAAAAGACACCGGCTCGCACGCAAGTGGCGCAAAGTATACCGGAACGCCGTCGACGCATCGGTCAATTGACTTTTGCGTGCGGCCGTCCGCGAGTGTAACTTGTGTAGGTTGCGTCTTCCTTTGAACGCGCGGGCCATAAAGGCTTGGCTTATAAAGTTGCGAGACGCTCCGCAATCAATCAAGACACTATAGGTTGCCTTTCCGATTTGAATGCGGATATAGAGCAAAGGCGCGTCGGTTTTGGCGTACCTTTGGGTGGTGTACTCGCGGTCAATCTTCGCAAGATAGGAGCGGAGATCGACAACCGCTACCCCGTCGTCCGTCAACGGAGCTGGTACTGTAGCGTGCAAATAGGAGCGTAGATTTGCCATCAAGGCGTTGCAATGCGGCCTTGGCAAGGTTCCGGTCGAGGGTAGAGGCATCCAAGCGAAGTCCTCTCTCGTGAGCGGGTCAAGCTCCTCAAGTCTTGACCACGCCGTCGAGTCCTCGAAAAACAGTGGCGAGCTGACCGGATGACTTGCCGACGGTGTACAGGCTGCGCATACGCAATGTAAGTGCACGTGGTCGGCTGGTCTAATGGTGGTACCAGCTGGGCGGCATAATCCTCGTACGTAGCACGAGAATCAGCGACTAACGCATGCTCCCCGGTAGTGACATCGATTGCTAGCAAGGCAACCGGTTCCGGCGGAGTGAGGAGAGACGTCGCCTCTCTCCTTGCGCAACTCAGTTTCCCGAGTTCGCTGGACGGGGTACACGCGCCTTTCCCTTTTCGGGGCATTGTGCGGTCAAGTGAGTGACTCCATTGCACCAAAGGCAATATCCGTACCGTTGACGAAGGTCATATACTTCCTTGGTTATCTTGTATGTCGTCTATGGTTGCTGCCCAGTTCCCGTCGATGTCGTCGCTTGTGTCGCCTTGTTCTTCCGAACTCTCTTGGGACGCTTCGGCAGGAGGGCTGCGACAGTTCCTCCATCACTCGAGGATGCTGCTGCAGCGTGGAGATCGACTGATTCTTCAGAATCACGACATTGTTATGTGCCGGTCGTTGGTAGCCCTGCTTAGCCACATAGTGCGGCTGGGACTGCTTTTCGTTGGCGGCCTTGTCATCCGTTTGGATGATCAGGTTTGCAGGATCCAGAACAGCCTGGAATGAGGCATAATCGTACTCGTTGCCGAGTGCGATTCGCAGTCCTGCGCACGATCACGAGAAGAACTCGGATCGGTGGTTTGTAAAGCTCAAATCGAAGCCTGGCGTGGTCACTATCTTCTGCCACTTAATCGTCTAGTCTCGAGTTGGCATACTTCCCTGTGAGCAAGTGTAGACCTCGTTCATGGCCGCCTTCACAACGTTGCGGACCATGAATCGAGTGAACCACAACTGTTCAAAATCCTCCCACGTGAGGTGTTTGTGTAGCTCGGCGATCGTGGTTTTCTTGTTAACTGCGAGGTGGTTCATCCACGCCTGCGCACCTCCAATGAGTTGGAGGTATAGTGCCTTCATCATGTCTTCGGCTGGGACCTTGTGGCAGGACGCTTCCGTGAGGAAGGCTTGCCACCATGTCGAAGTGTCGGTCTTGTTGTAGTCCTCAAACTTGCCGATGTTGAAGCGTGGCATCTTGTATACCTTCGCAGCTGCTGCCGGTTGCGACTGCAGCTTGGCGATATCCGTCTTGATGGCGGCCACCGTGCTGCTGATCGTAGCCGGACTGGTGAAATCCCCTAGTTCGCCGATTAGACTGACGACATGGTCGATGCGCTCGTTGAGCTGTTTCGTCGTGTCAATCGTGCAGCCTGGCGCTGCTGAGGCTTGAGCCTCAATGCTGTTGATTCGTGCGAGACCGGAGGTCAACAGCTGATGCTGTTGCTGCTGCTGTATTGCTGCTGCGCGGACGGCAGCTGCTAAAGCGGCAGTATCTTGCTGCTGCTTCTGTCTGTGTTGTCGTTCCGTAAGCAGGTGTGCCTGCAGCAGTTTGTTGTTCCACATTACTCCCCTCATCACGCTCAACATCAAGTTAGCCAGGTTACTTCTCTCTGCCTCCGCCGGTGTAGGATCCGCCTGCGCGTCCGTAGGCACAAAGATCATGCCTTGGAGTAGAGTTGTCCACTGATTCTCACTTTGAATCAGGGACTCCGTGCTGATGGCATTCCGTCTGTCTCGTGCCGCTGCGTCAGCCTCAGCAGTCCGCTGAGTTTGGGCTGCCGCCTCATTGGCCAGCCGCTGACGTTCTGCCTCTGCTGCCTCCAGCTGTGCCTTAGCGGTAGCTACGACATCCGTAAATGCCTGTACCCGCTGAAGGTAAGCAGACAACGGCTCACTGGCCCCTTGGACCGGACATGCGGGAAGAGCCCCGGTGGTAACTGGTACTGCCGTAGCTGTACTTGATGCCGCTGGAGTCGTCCGCCTGCTGAGTCGCTGTTGCTGATACTTAGACCGTGGAGGTACCACAGAACGGCGACGAACTGCGAGCCTGGCACTGCGTCGTGGCAGTGCCCCAGTGTCCTGTTCCGTCGACATCAGCACAAGCTGATGTGGAACTCTAGAAGTCCCGGTGGTCACAGGGATAGAACAATCAAACAGGGAAGGGTAGGGAGAGTGGGAACAGGGATAGAATAATCAAACAATTTGCATACAGTCCCTGTCCCAATGATGGACTTAGACACCTAATCAAAATAGGAAAAGAAAAATAAACTTCCCAACACAACTTAAAAATTCGTAATAAGAAATAATAATGAATTAATAATCAATAACATTTGAATTAAATGATTAATAATGAATTAAAATTGCTTAATAATCAATAAAACAATAATGCAATAATGATAATTACCGAATTTTAAATTGTGCAAGATTAGGTATCCGTTGAGATCATCTATAGTCCGGGAGCTCACCATTGAATAGTGAACTACCCGGAAGTTGCAATTCTGGGGAAACAATTACGAACAGTTTGCCAAAAAACTTTTCGGAAGATTAGGAAGAAAAACACTCGAATTTTCGAAAAACGTAAAATTTCGGGAATTTCAACCTTCAAAATCCGATTTTTAAAGGCCTAAGTCCGTTTTCGGAATTTCTCCAACTAGGGAAAGAAAACAATATTTCGCAAAAATTTGGGAACCCAACCCTAATTTTCCGTGATTCCGCGGAATTTCGGGTATTACGGTTCCCAGAACCTTCGAATTTCCCGATTTGAAACAAAACCGAAATTTATCGTAACCCTAAGTTCCAATACGGAAATAAAACAGAAAGACCGATTTAGAAAAACGAAATACAGGATTTAAAACAGAATGCCGAAAAAAAACGGAATACCGAATTGAAATCAGAATGCCGAATTAAACAGAATACTGATGTAAACCATGGCTACGCCGGACCCGGACCCGGACATTTCCGGACATGGAACCGGACCCGTGTCCGGTAGTTTCCGGACGTCCGGAATTCCGGACATTTTCGGACCTCCGGACATGGGGGGATCCGGACGGCCCGGAAGTCTGGACAGGTCCGGAAATGTCCGGACCATTAAAAAAAATAAAAATAAAAAAATCTGAAAAAAAAAAGTATGTTATGCAGAATAACAATGCAAACCACTTTTGCCTCAGAGTAGTGTCAGAATTCCTAACGAAACTTGAGTTAAAAGTCAAAAACGATAAAAAGCTTAAAAAAAGACTTTAAAAACTAATAAAAGGTAATGAATTACTAGTAATTAAAAAATTGGGGTTGTCTAATAAATTACTATAGAGAGAGAGCATGTCCGGACCCCCCAAAAAAGCATAAACGGGCCTGAAAAACCCCCAAAACAATTTTGGGGGCTTGGCTCCTCAATGGGGAAGGGTCCTGGACTGTTTTTTTTGTTGTTGTTTTTTTTTCCTCGAAATTTGCCAGATCCGGACCTTCCAGACCGGACGTCTGGATTCCGGACTGAATCCAGACCGTCCGGACGGCGGTCCGGACGTCCGGATCGTAGCCATGATTTAAACCTAATAACAAATTAGAATCAGAAATCCGAATTAAAACAGAATATCGGATTAACCAGAATACCAATTAATCGGAACCCGAATTAAACAGAATACTGGATTAAAACGGAAATCCGAATTGAAAGTCCGAATACCGAATTGAAACGGAATGCCGAATTAAACAGAATATCGAAAAAAAGAAAAAAATTTGCAACTTTACATCTCGATAGTAATACAGAGCTGATTTGGAAGATCGAAGAAGCAATCTATTCCTAAATCAGACTTACCTGGTGAGCAGATCCATCGTTTGGTCTGCTCCGATACCAAAACTGTTACATACTCGTGAATACTTCAACGAGGATGGGGCAGAACCAAAGATCAACCAATATAGGATGAGCATATATGCAGCGGAAGTCTGATGAATGGACTGACTCACATAGACTGACTCACACTGATATCACTCCACACACAAACAATCGTGAGATGGTGGGGTCTGAGCCAAGCACAGACGATGCTCAGGCCGCGTACAAACATGCACAAATGAGAGGTGGGAGGAGAGACGAAGGAGGTGGGAGATGTAGGTAGCACCAGATGTCACCGAGATAGAATCCAGTAGGTCACCGATATGGTAGTCCAAAATGYCATCGAACAAGATCAAAATGTCSTGGACAATAAGTCACCAATGTCGGAGATACAGAGTCCTAATGTAACCGGTGTCCAATCTGTGATGCCGCCGAGTATCAACCCCAACAATCTCCAAGTCTCGAACCCGGTAAGTACCACAGCCTCTTACCACCGAAGTCCAACACTGATCTCTGTCCAACTAGTATCAAGTATCCAGTCTGAAGAAGAAGAAGATGAAGTCTGAAGAAGAAGAAGAAGAAGAAGAAGAAGAAGAAGAAGTCTGAAGTAGAAGAAGAAGAAGTCTGAAGAAGAAGGAGCCGAGATGGCAGAGGAGGAGGAGGTGAGGAGGAGAGAGCCGGGGCCGTGGAGGGAGGAGAAGATCCCCTCGCCTCCTGGTACCTGGCTGTGCTGCAGTCTGACTGCAGGTCGCAGCCATGGCCGCCGTACTGCCGATGGCTGCTGCCCAGCTCCTCGCTCGTCGCTGCTGCTGCGCTAGCTCGCGCTGCTGCTGCTGCTCCGCTCCTGCGCTAATATTAGCGCTCTGCCTCAACCGATACGCACTGGCGCTGATGCAGCATGCCAGTGGCTCGATGCCTCACAATGAGGCTGCACCGGTCTTTAGTACCGGTGAAAAAGAGGCCGGCCTCAATGCTGCGAGGCCTGGCCGTGACCTGAACCGTCAAGATCGACGGTTCAGATCAGACCGGCGGGCGGCAGCCTCAAAAGCGCCGCCAGGCCCAGACGATGTGTCATTTGGGCCTACCCGTCGGGTCTGGTCCAAAACTGTGGCCTTTATGGCCTGCTGTACCCCAAGTCCGGGCCTTTAGGCCCTACTGTGTCCCCTAGGCTCTAAGTAGGGTCCGGTAGGACCCGTGTGGCGTCGAAGATGTAACATAAGGCCTTCTGGGACAAACTGCCCCAAGCTCAAGCACTATGCGTGAGACCCCCCCCCTTTTCCTTGGCCTTCTGGAGGGGATTCCAGGCCCCTCTTGCCTGCAGCGTGCACAATCCCCCCCTTTGATACAAGGTTTCCACATCTTTTAAGGACACCTGGCCCAACCCTGGCCACCAGGGGTGTCACTTTCGGCGAATTTTGCACCGAATTGCACCGAAACTGTCACATTGTGCTGATGTTTTGCTTTTTTTCTTGTTTTTCTTTGTGTGTGATATATATGTGCTTTAGGGTACGTCATGTGCCCAGTTTTGACATGTTTGGATTAATAATGAAAAAGTTGGCATTTCGTTAAATTCGTTGGACACTTCATTTTAACTCTGACAGTGTTTTTGTGTTAGGGTTTTATAGTGTTTTTTTGTTATTTTTTTCATATTCTTTGGCCTGTTTCGTTTTTGATGTTTGCACTATGGGCCCATATCGTTTGTTTTTGAAAATTTCGACGAATTTCGCACCGAAATTGCTGGCGAAAACGGCGAATATTTGGCCCCCCGTTAACCATCTCTCGCTACAGGGAGGGGGTGGGGGAGAGAGGGGAGTGAGTGGATAAAGTAAAGGAAGAAGGTGATGAAGGCCAGGAAAGCCAAGAAACCACAGATAGAGAGCTTGGATGTGCTCGTTTTCTCCTTCTTTTCTGCCATATTGGTAAATGTGAAGATCGTTGTCCTTCCACCGCCAAGTCTAGTCAAGACTTCAGAGCCAGGAAGAAGAAGGCAAACAGACCGAGGCCAGAAGCAGTGCAGCAGGAGGCGATGAAGGGGGCGAGCACAATGACAAGGAACATAAAGCAGAGGCATGCCCAGGAATAGAAGGACAATGCGAATACAACCTACTCCGGTCAACATAGCCAGATTAGAGCGATAGTTGACATTAGATCTGGGAGCAAGGCCAATAGGTAGAAGGAGGAGAAAAAGGGCATCGAGAACAGACAGCGGAAGTCCTAGCAAGCCATAGGCATGGCGTCATCAACGAAGTGGCTCGCGGTGGTCCAGCGTAGAAAAGTGAGCGTAGCCCCGAGGAGGGAGAGCCAAATGCCCGAACCTGATAGCAATAGTCCGATTCAGGGCAAAAGCAAGGATGAAACATGTGCCACGTCGTCTGCATCCCTCCTCCGCCAACTGCTCCAGATCCATGTGAAGCCCATGCCTGTGTTGTGACGAGACAGAGGCAGGGCAGCGAGGCTGGGAGATAGAGGGAGAGTGAGAGCACACACACACGCTCACTCAACTCGACGCAGACTCGACTCGACTCGACGGACGCAGACACAAAGTGGCAAAGTCGCAAAGTCACAAAGTCACAATCTTGGATTCCGAACACAATGTTGCAGCAAGTCAAAGTCACACTGAAGCACAAGCACTGAGGCTGAAAACTGAGTGCCTGTACTGGGCTTGAGTCCGGTCTCAAGTACTGGACTCAAGTTCAGTCCCGAGGGCAGAAGTTCAATTTGCCTCAGGGCTGAACTGAGAATCGAAGGATGGCGCCAAGTATTGAAATCAAAGTGCCAAAGGAGGAATTTGAGAACGGGCGCAAACTGCAGAGGGCGCCAACAGTCAGGAACCGGAGATCAGAAACTCAAAAAAAAAAAAAAAAAAAAAAACAGCAGCCACCCGCACCATTGATCGAGCCCTGGCTGAGTCCGTAACATGTGTCGTATGGGCCACAAGGTTCGACTTGCCAAACGTTGCGAACAGGATTAGCATGTGTTAGAAACAAACTGAAAAAAAAAAAAGCAAATCTCATTTTCTTCTCGATAGCCATAGGACAAATTAAACGTATATTAATTTCATAATTATTGTTACCCGATCTCCTGGCATAACCATTCTTGTTTTTTTGACACCATTGTCATATTCAAAAGCTTCAATTACACCAGTCACATGTGCAGTTCGCTGGACCCGTTTTCCAGCAGGTGCTGCTCCCCACCAATAGATGGAGCCCTCCCGACGGCGCTAATGGTGCCTTCTCTTACCAGCACCCCTAGCGCCAATCTGGAAGTTTCTTCTTTAAAAAAGAAATAAAAAAAATAAAAAAAAATTGAGGACGGTATCCTGCAAAAAAAGGAGAATGACGACCTCCTTCCTTGCAAAGTATATAAACAACTTGTGCTTTGAAACGAGTATGCGAGGCTCAAGGCCTTGGTAAGCCCTACTGGGCCCTGTTTCAACAAGTACGACCGCCCTAAGTGAAGGCGAGCCTGACGAGTGACAAGAGGCCTATTTTTGGGTTTTGACGCGGCTGGGAAATTCAGGCAGTTGCGCCGCGCCAGTTGGTTGAGCGAGTCCAGGCCCTGCCTGCCTTTTTCCAAATGTATCGAGGCAGGCCCTGGGCCAGACACGGGGCATGAGCTGAACACAGGCTGCTGGAAGTTGGACACGGGTAACCACCCCAGGCCCTGTGGAAGATTCCCTGGGACAGGGGCTCAGCCACTTGGGGCCTACCGGAAGCTTCTGTGGGGAGGCCCAGTCCAGCCAGGCAGCCCACGACTGGCAGCCTCATTCCATAAAGGAAAGGGCTTGGCTGCGGGCTGGATATTCGGGCACTCGCTGCATGCCGCGCCAGCGCTGCTGCGTTATTTGCTCGCAAGTGCCTACGTGCTCACGGGCGAGCAGGGAAGATGCAGGCAGCCATAGCCAAGCTGGCCTACGCATAGCTGGATGGTGCGCATGGTAGTCCTTGGGTGCACGTGGCATCTGTGTGGGGGATTGAGGTTGTGAGTGAAGTGTGAGACATACCTGGTGCCTGAGGCGAACGGCATTGGCTGAGATCTGCTCGTACTTCGTGAACTGTTGACGTCACCAGCGCCATTGTAGATAGGCTAGATAGGATCTGCCATTCGTAGTCTGGGCACTGAGCGCCAGATAGGGATTCAATATTGGTTCATTGTTGATGATGATGAGACTATTCCAACATTCTCACTTGTGAGCTTTTGCTGTGCTCTTATTTGGTGGAACTCGAGTTGCAATTCTGCTTTTGGTTCAAGGTCAAGACTATCTGGTTTCATGTGTATGGTGCTGCTTGGTTTCTGGAATTCGCTATCGCTCATTTTCCTTGCATTTTGGTATCGGAGCTGTGGTACGTTGCGCTAATCTGGCGCTTGTCTTCTGCTTATGCGTTGCAAACACGCGGTTAGCTGGGTGAGGGACCGTGAGTAGTGTGCAGTGAGGAGGGCGAAGGCAAGCAGGCGACCCAGGCGGAGAGGGGTATCACCAGGAAGGGGGAGAGTTGATATTGGGTGTTTCGGAGTGTGATAAGAACTATCTGATGTGCGATTGATGCTGAGGCGGAACGGCGGTGTAATGCTGGTTGTACCGAAGCAATGATTGGTCATCACAATCGACATCAGGTGATCTGGTGAGAATATTTGTGGTTTGGGGCAGCTATTTTGAGGTATGTTGCTCTTAACCTTATCTACCCTCTTCGGCACTTCTTACCGTGGGGATGTGTGTTCTGTCTCTCTCATGTGAGGAGTTGAGTGCGCTCAACCTTGATAGTCGGCATTATTCACGTGGAGCATCTGGAAGGAGAGGGCGTTGCCATTTGAACGACCCTGGACGAAGCATTGGGTCACGGTCACCATGCCAACCCACCGGGAGTAGAGCACGCATGGTTCGCTGCTTTATCCTTTGTCTGCCTGGTGCGGTGTAGATGGGTTATGAGGCGCACGCCAGCCCTACAAGGGAGACGAGCACCGAACGTCTATAAATAAATACCGGCGGGGTACCTTCCATTGGGTGTGATCGTCGTCCTGTTTGCAGTGTTAAATAATTCCTGAGGACCTCGGGGGCCGTCCTGAAACTGCCTCTTGATCAGCCAATCAGTCGGTGTAAGGCTCGCTGCACGCGAGGCTAGACATGGTGCAGGGCTGGACAGCTCAGCATTGACTTGGGGCACAGGGGTGGGCCGTGTGCACACCTTTAGACACACAAACTATCTGGATTGCTCAGGAACGCTGACGTCAAGTGACATTAAGAAAAACTGAGGGAGGGGTAGATTTCAGGTGATAAGTCCAGGAACAATTCCACTCTGCAAACAACCATGCAAATGATTCTATTTTTATTTTGATTAGTTAGATGTACAGCCATTAACACTTCTCACAGACAACATAGGTAGAACTCTCTGTTTCTGCTTAATTGCTTTCTGGTTGCGGACTAATCAAGTAAAACAATTTCGTTTGTAGGAATCTGGACTTACCTGTTGGACCCAATTGTGTATTCTTTGACAATGCCACCGATTAATTAATTTTTTTATTTTAAATCGGTCTGAGCACTACGCTCCGGTAGGCAACCGAGTGTCTTAGTGCCAACATTGCACAATGCTATAGCATATGAACGACAGGGGGGACCCCGATCCGGACGATCGGATCTTGTGTTCGTCGAGCCGTAGACTCCTGTTGGTTCACGTAGCGTTAGGAGCCGAGGGAGACCGTCTCCTGTTCTGTCAGGCTACGGAGAGGCAGCAGCAGCAGAGGAGGGCGAGGGACGCAGAGTCAAGCAGAGCTTTCGCTAGAGAGGCAGCCAACATGGCCACCTCTGCGCAACAGAGTTCCCAGGCCAGTAGTTCAGGGACTGTCGGAGCAACGGTCGCACAGACCCTGAGTTAATCCACTGGCGTTATGGCAAGCCAACAATTAGTTTTAACTCCTGAGGAGGTCGCCATTCAGTGAGCCAGTGCTCACGAGTCCCAACTACAGAAGGCATTAGATGAGATACAGGCAGAGAAGGAGAGAATGATCAGACGTAGGTCTAGGATGCAGCGGAGGCAAGCAGATATTAGGGAGTTAGAGGAGATGGGCCTAGCCAACATGGATGACGATGTAAGGACCGTGAGGGAAGCCCTGCTAGATGTAGTGGAGATGCAGGACTACCATACGTCACTCTTGTAGGCTCCGTGCTGGTCGGGTGAGTTCAGGCCACACCATCACCATCTTGGCCAAGTGCCTGGCCTGTTGTAAAGCCTCCTCCTTTTGTCCCACGGTAATTGGAGTAGCCCCATTTACAATCTCTCCAGCTTCGGTACATGCCGCTTCCCATCTGGTTATGCCTTTTACAGGCGGGTTCCCAGCAGGTCCTAGAGGAAAGATTCTGGTACAAACAATGTTCTCCCAGCCTCCGTTGCAGACTGCCATAACAGGGCAGCCTGCCGTCTCGCAGCCAGCACAGCCGCAGGACACACAACCCCAACAACAGCAAGTGCAGCAGCCTGCACCCCAGGGCCCACAGCCTGGAGTAGTTCAGGCATCGGGACAAGGACAGTGGGTTCCAAAGACTGCCATCGCATCACCGAAACCCTTCTCACGAGATAAGAAGGGTGAAGACGTCATCACCTGGTTGAGGTCGGTGCCAGTCTATGTGAAGTGCAAGTTAACCTTGCCTCACGAGGAAAATGCTTGTGGCTGCCTCCTATCTGGAGGGGAGTGCAGCAAGGCGGTTAAGTGGGTACGTGTAGCTACAGGGGTACGGTCATGACTTTTGAGCTTTGGTAGTCACCCAGAAGTTGGATGATTTCCTCAAGCTGGTGGAAGAAAGGTGGCATGATCCGCAGGAGGCTCAAAAGGCCATCAATGCGATATTGACCCTGAGCTCAAGAAAGTTCAGGTTAGTAAGGGATGCCACGAACGCGGTTGAGCATCTGATTTGTGTTCCTAGAGTGCCCTACGACCCGCAGGTCTTACTTACGACTTACCTGAGGTGTCTCCCCGTAGAGCTCAGGAATAAGTTGGCGGGTGAGGCTATGATCACTGTACACAACTTTCCCTCGTTCAACATGAAGGCCCTTGATCTAGAGGCAAAGATCGGGCATGGGCACCAACCCACTACGGATGGTAGGAAGAAGACTGCCTCCGAGCTGGGAGGCTAAGGGGCACATTATGTTCGTCGGTAACGATGGTTTTACCCTAGAGTTAGATGACGATTTCCAAGTGGGAGTAGGGCCAGAGTCGGGTAGCGCAGAAGCTTCAGAGGATGGAGTAGTCGCTGCCTCAATTCAAAAAGGTACGGCGACCGGTAGACGCCGTGGAGGCTCGCGATCAAGGAGTCAAGTAGACCCCAATGCTCCTTCATGGGAGAAAGCTGGTCTTCCTGAGGACGTGTAGAGAGATCGTTACTCATGTGCAAACCAGTTTAAGTGCAAGAATAGGAAGGTAACCGAAAAGATCCCGCCTACGATGGGGCAGGCGCCGGTCTCCTCCGCTTCCCAAGGTAGCAACGTTGCCAACAGTTCTTGGACTGCTTTCATAGCGGTTAATAGGGGCCCCCACTTTTCATCCCTGGTTAACCCCTTCAACCCTGAAAAGTGCATTGGAGATCATTTTTTTTAGTTTTTTTAGTTTTTTCTGTTTTTTTATTTTATTTTTGCCCTATTTTATTTTTGGTCAAGGTCTGTGTGTGCCAAGTTTGGTGTTTGTTGAGGTCTTGCAGTTGATTGTTTTGGCTAGCTCTGAAAAAATCCTGAAAATCTTGAAAACTGAAACGAGTGAATTTTGCATGAAAACACACTTTTGCCTTGCTGTTTTGTAAGTTCTATAAGTTTTTTTTTCAATTTGTTTTTTGTAAGTAGTTAGTATGATCTCCACTCTATGAATTGATGGCAAGTTTGGTAAAAATGATCCTTGGGTTTTATTATAAATGGCCTGACAAGTGGTCTGAAAATTGAGGCCTTTGTTAACCGTCTCTCACTACTTCGGGAAACACGTCGGGCAAGTAGGAATTATAGTTGTTCCTGCTAGGGTCAAGGTGGTGGACACACCCTCGCCATCTCGAGAGATGGCCCAAGCTATTGACTCCGTCGACGTCCCACAAACACATTCGGACCAATCGATCCTTTGTTCGATGAATGTGTTTGAATCCTTAGAGGAGCTAGAGGAGGAGTGGTCCACTAGCTTCTTGGACGGCCATGGCTAAAGCTCCTAAGGGTGAGGTGTTCGTCCGCGAGGTAGATATAAGCGGTCGTAAGGATGGGGCCTTCTACGATACTTGTTCGATTAGGAACTTTATCAGTCGCGCTTGTCTCGAACGGCTGTGCTTACAAGGGCATGTGCAGCGCCTCAGTCGAACTGTGGAGTCGACCTGTGCCAACAAACTGTGCATGGTAGTCAATGACTACCTAAAAGACATTGGGTGTCGTTTCTCGTACGCGAGAGGGGAACTGAGACATTGAGTCTCATTCCTAGTTAGTGATGATCTCCCTTTGGATATCTTGTTAGGTATGTACTATCTTTCAGCTACACAACCCCAGTTTGGCTAGGACCGAAAAGTGGTCAAACGCACTTTGCCGGAGGGGGACCACCAAATTACGCAAGTATAAAGCTAGTAGTCTGATTGAGTCCTACGGATGCATGTGTGCGGCCGCATTCTATAATTATTATAAGCAAAACCCGGAGGAGGGTATGTACTTAGTGTATGTCTCAGCGGAGGGTGAGCGAGTGAAAATGCCTCCAGAGATAGAGGGAGTTGTCGCTAGGCACCCTGATCTATTTGAAGAGGCGAGAGGGATTGTAGAGAGGGAGGTCGTCCACGTGATAGAGATTGTCCCAGGGTTTAGTATTCTGAAGGGTAGGATCTATTGGATGTCTCCAGTGGAGCTTGATGAGCTTCACCGGCAACTCAAGGAACTCATAAAGAAGGGTTGGATCCGACCGAGTGTCTCCCGTTACGGRTCTCCTGTCCTATTCGTACCAAAGAAGGGGGGAACATTGAGGATGTGCATTGATTATAGGGGCCTCAATGCCATATTACTGTGAAGAACGCAGAGCCCCTACCGCGCATCGATGACTTGTTGGACCGAGTGCAAGGGTGTCGGTACTTCAGTAAGATAGATCTGAAGTCCGAGTACCATCAGATTGCAATCCGGCCCG